GTGTGTGTGTTACTTCCTGTTCTAATTTGGTAGTCTCCCGTCTAATTATTTATGATTCAGTTCAGCTGTGTTCCCATGTGTCTCCACATCCCTTAATCATGTATTGTCTGCATCTCCCTCTGCTTGTTGTTGTGTTTTGTCTCTTTGTGTTTGGTGGGTCTGTCAGTAGTTTTTGGCAGTCAGTTCCTATTCTGCCCAGTAACTGTTTGCTGTTGTCTTCTCTGCTGTTTTTGCCGGCATAAATAAAGCTGAGATTTTGAGTCCTGGGATTTTGACCCACTCCCTGCTCGCTACAGACATGTGTAAGGTTTTGACCTATGTGCACGAAGTCCCTTGAGGTGACAAAAAATTGAGAACTGATTTGAATTGCTTTAGTTACTGGACCCAGGATGATTGCAGGATGTCAACAGAGGCAGAAATTTGCCATAAAATAGACCTAGACTTCATCTATGAATGTGACCTGCACAGCCCTGCGTGATTTCCAGAGTATTGCAGTTTTATTTTCAGAAAGTAATTGCTGAGATTTGTTCTTTGATGTACACTTTGGGGTTCTCAAAATGTTGGTTATAAAGTCCTTGTGAACAGCTGTCTTTACACTGTGTAAGCTTATTGTGAGAAGGCAATCCTATTAACTTTAATTTTTCATAATGTTCAAGGGTGCTCAGCATGTTCTTATGCTTGACTTTCAAAACCACCAGAAACTGTCACGACCTCTGCGCTGTTCGCTGCTGCATGATCAAGTGTGCTCTTATACGCTGAGAATCCAACATTGTGTCTCTCAGACAGAACCTGACGTCCACAGTGGATCAAAGCACACGCTCTAGTACATTTTAACTCACACACATCTGTTAATGTTTCTGACTTAGTCACACTGCAGAAACATACTTCCTCTTTTCTGGGTAGGCGTGACAAAGCACCCTCATATGGAAAAAGAATAGAGAAGATGGACCTGAACCATGTTTAGCAGCTCTGAGTTGAATATTAAAATGACTTTGGCTTGTTAATGCTGTTGTGGCTGAGTGGAAGTTGAGTCTTGTTGACCCTGCAGCTTATGTTACATTTGAGACTTTTGCTTTGCTGATTTGTCTAATTTATGTTACCTTTAATTTACTGGTTAGTTTTATGCACCAAAAACTTTTTGGTTAGGTTCATGAAAAGTGGTTGGAATTTAAATATCTCAAAAGTGCATGAAAATGTCTTTTAAACCATCCAAACATGACAAGTGAGAAATGAGATCCATCACTGATGTCAGAACCTGACAGTCTGCAAGAGACGAAGCCTCTAGGGACAGGGCTATGGCTCTCTACATCCTCTTGCAGACCATTACATGGGGAAACCATTTGAATACAAGCGCGCCGATCCACACAGGTGTGCACAC